ACATATGTTATAAACCAGGGTTTCTTAAACTATGGGTTGCGATCCCAAATGGAGTCGCGTAGCAAAATCTGCGGTCGCGAGAAATCTTAATGTTAAATATTGGCGGATTTAACATTTTATAACATCACTAGAGTTGGCAGTTTTATATGTATTTGCATATGTATATTGTAACCTTATAAATAAATCAGCAAATAATATTAATTTATTTTTCTTTTATATTTGTATGAGGTCGTCAAGAAACTTGCGATCATAATCGGGGTCGTGAATGATAAATTTTTAAGAAGCCCTGTTATAAAGGAATCTTTTGGAAAACTACACATGGTATATTAAAAGAAGTATAAAAGGCTGTGGAAAATGAACAGAAATAAAGATCCTGACTATTAAATGATAACGCATTCTTCAAAAATTTTGCCCAGAAATGAACAATTAATATAAGGGAGCCTACATTAACCACGTGAGGCTTAAAGGGAAAGGAGGGTTTGAAAAAATTTAATGAAATATTCATGGATGAGGGGAGGGTCTAGTAAGATATCACGTGTATTTATTTTTGACCTCAATTTACAAAAAATCTAAATTTTTCGAAAAATTCCAAAATCTTACGATTTTTTCTAGGTACTAAAAATACACGTGATGTTTGGTGGGGGAGGGAGTGATTTTAAATATCACAACGTATTACCAAGGGAAAGGGAGGTCCAAAAATCCTTGAAAATCGGTCACATGATTAATGCCCCCTAACAGTTACAACTAACTTCAATTGACATCAACTTATAATATCAATAAACAGGTGAATCTTTGAAAATATTAAATAACTCGTATGGTAATAAAACTGAATGTGCACTCACATGTCGTAATAAAAAATCTAATAGTTTCTAAAATAAATGAACAATTTATAACAAAATGTAATTTATTACCTTTGAAAGTACCACATTTAAATCCAACCAGCTGGTCGAACAGCTGATAAGGCAAACAAAAAAATATAAAAGAAGTAAATAAAAAAAGTTATATCACAATAGCCAATAGAGAAAGAAAGTAAATAGTGGAAGGTCCAAAGAATTGATATTCTTTGTTGCAAACAACTGTCATCAGCCATTCTATACACATATTTCTTACTTGATGTAAAGATGTATAAGGCAAAAATTAAAAAAAATCAAACATGCTGAAATTGTGAATTTCATAGCTATATTTGCTTTAAACCAATTCTTGAAAATGTCCGCATCGTATTTAAACAAGCATTTTAAAACTGGAAGATATTAAAAGACGTGTGCCGTCTTATAAAAATGTAATGTAACATCCATATAAAAAATAATCATGTTAATAACAACTGATAGAGGGGATTTAAAAATTAGTTGCGCTACAAACTAAAATTTATGTTCTTCCATATTATATATATATATATATATATATATATATATATATATATATGTATATTTATATACATATTAGGCACGTATAAGAACATCTGTCTGCCAAAAGCCAGCTGCGAGTTAGAAATACATTAGGAAAAAATGTACTCGGCTTTAAATCAACAATTTCTGTTATAATTTGATAGAAAATTAAAGCAAATGATCACATATAATCACGAAAAATATATGTGTACTGCTAAAGTGCATAAAAGATGTTGACGGAGAACATAATTTTTCGTTTCAAGAATAAAGAGAATTCAAGAATAAAGAAAATTGTAAAATATCCAATGCTCACAAACACTTGCATGTTTCACAGAATGTCATTAATTTATTTAAATTTTGCAGCTGAGTGGTACGTTAAGTTATTCAAAGAATGAAAGTTCTTAAAATGATTTGACAACACAGCGTTGTGCTTTTCGCGTATACGACCGTTAGCCAATTAAACATCGGAATACAGAGTATCATGCAAATATACCATAATAAAAATCACTTGAATAAATATTTCTTGTTGATTATCAATAATTTATAAGCATAACTTAAAATTCACTATTCAAAATGAAATCGGAGTCTGCCTAACATAAAATTAAATTAATAATTTCAACATTAAAATGTACCACATCCTGGTTGGTAATCTTTTCAAACTTTTATACAATTCTAGAAGTACTGATTGTTGATAATATATGAAGTGATTATAGGGTGCGAGTAAATGCTTTAATGCTTGATATTTATACCAACATACATTTGTGAATGTTTATAAATAATGATACTTCATCTCAAACATGAAGTAAAATATTTGGTACACTAATCATTGAAAAAATCAAATATGAACCGTTTAATTCAATTTTGTTAAGGAATTGCATAAGTTCAATGACATAGCAAGTTTTGAGTAGAAGCAAATATTGTCTGATCTTGGTCAGTCCCAGTTTTCCATTTTTGCAAGTGATTGAGAATGTATCGAATTTTGTGTTTTACCTTCATTTTGTCAGGAAACAAACTGACCACATATAACATTGTCAAAAAGCTCTAAATACAAGGTATACTACGCGCAATTTACGTCAGATATGGTTCACAAAAAACATAAAACTTAATCATTATTTCATATTTATGCAATATAGTTTATATTTTTAACATAATTGTTTACTTTATTGTAAGCTGTGATAGACAAGTCATAGCAAATCGCAATATAGTTATTGGTACAATATGAAACCATACTAAAAACGCTTATCATGTTATACGCATAACAAATAATGTATGATTTAATTAAGTTTAATATAATTAAAAATTAATAATATAGTATGTCTAATGAATTTTCGGATGTGGAGTTGTATATCCTATGCAAAATTGAAAAAAGTTACCTATTAATAATAGCGTCTGCTCCGCGAGCGGAATTTGAAAGCTCTAAACATTATGGTTCATTCACCTTAGTTGAATTATAAAAAATATTTGATCCCTGTGCCTTGTTGATCTAGAACATAATTTGTTCAACCGGCATGAATCATAAAATCAAAAAATAGTTCCATATTTTGTCAAAATTCAATATGTAACAAATATACATTTTATATAGTTCAAATCGTCGTATGCGGCAACGAGCTTAGTCTAATATATATGAGTGCACACACATATATATATATATATATATATATATATATATATAGGAATATATACATATATATATATATATATATATATATACATATATATATTGCCCGATTCTAAATAACTCATCAATATATATATATATATATATATATATATATATATATAATATTAAATTTATTTACTTAAAAAAATACAATAATTTGGGAAAACTGTATTTCAGTAACTCGAAGTAAAGCACGTGCTTCTCTCTGTGCTCCGGAAAAGCCGATAACTTTCACGAAAGCATTTTAATATTTTTTTTAATTCAATGTCAAACCGATATATCAAAATGTATAATAGTAATTTAGTAAAAAAATAATGACATAATAAAATTATAACCCTGGTTAATTTCACATAGTAGGCAATTGAAAATCTTTACGCATGGTCTGCCTGTAAAAGCACAACCTTAGGGTAAAAACATATATGATCTTGAAATGATATTACTGAATCTTTTGCGGTTTTGAAACGCTAATGATTAAATTTGCCATCTCAATTTGAGAATTTTCAAATTTTATAGTTAAAAAGAATTAAAACTATTTTATTGTTTTAATTTTAACAATAGTAGCGAAAGTATTTAATGAATTATTTCTTACGTAAAAACATCAAAACTTTGAAAAATAATTTCTTGTAATAAATATACTGAATGCCTGGCTGATGTTAACAAAAACTCAAATAATTCTTTCGAGTAACTTGAGCGACAAAAATCACCTCGTGTTTGCGGCGTCATAAATTAAAATTTTAAGTTAAAAAACAGCACATCTGGCAGAAACTTCTTCGGCTGGTAGCAAGAAAAATCTCTTTCATTTTGTACTGTGTGGAGCGCATCGTGTATTTTGTCACCGTTACAATTTTGGTAAAGGATGTTGTTTGGCGTGTGCTTAGCGCAATATACACAACGACGAAAAGGTCCAGCTGTCGTTCGAAAGCAACGACAGATGCGCGCTGACGCACACAAATGCATAGAACATAACGTGTGTTAATGCGGACACATATGCGTTACTATACTACATATGGCACAAGCATCTTCTATGTATTAGTAATATGTGATAGTTAGATACGTTAGATGATAATAATTTATGTGCTTTACTCCGTATACTTAGTTTTGTTACAAAATACACCATATGTTGTGCTACGAACTCTGATTAATATTGGATCAAATTTAAATTAACGCTCCACATAATATTAAGTAAGCACTAATCTAGACTACTGCATCCCACAAAAATCAAATCACTATGATACAACTGCAAATACAAATGATGCAGCGCTAATGCAATGGGCTTATGACGAAAGTTCTACTTCATAAGTTCGAGCGAATTAATTTTAATATAGATTCTTAATAATTAAAATTTTAAATGAATAAAATAAATATTAAAGAAATTTAAGAACATGGTGATAAACAATTGAAAATGAGAATTATCACAAATAAATAAAACAAAAAAGTAAGAAATACCTTATGATATGGAAACTATGTAATACTAGAGAATTTCCCTCAGCAAATTCTCCAAGTTAACAAATTCAGTAAAAAGGAAAAAGTTTGTATTTTCCCGAAAATCAGATTCGCTAATTTTATGTTTTCTCAGTTTTTAGTTTTTGTTCGATGTAAATTTAAAACCTATTATAAAAAAGCCCAATTGCCCTTCATGATAGTGTTGATTTAGTCTTGATCGAAAATTGCTGAATTGAATTCTGCGGAATTATTGATGAAAACAATTTTGCGGTAATTTTGGAAATTAAAAAATATTTAATAATTTTCGACAATGCAAAGTTCAAGCAACTTGACTTAAGGCAAAAATACTTACAACTAGTTTATATTTAACTTCATTTACGCAATCGTATCCACATGTGCTACATTTGACGGGTGATATAAACTTTAATTATGAAATTAAATTTATTACACACATATACTATATATGTATATATATAAATATTTATATATATAAAATAATGAATAAAACATACCTTTTTCTCAGTTAACTTTTCACATCGGCGCTGCTTGCAGATTTGATGCGATTTGTCATTACGGCACGGAGCGCAATCCCCACAATTATCTTTGCGCTGACAGCCGACGCATTCTCCACAGCGTTTACGTTTCTTTTTCACCTGCAAAGAGATTATTATATATTACAATTGATACATATTCGCTTAAATTTATTTAATTACTATTATAATATATCACATAAAAATATTGAGGCGATAGCAAACCAGAATATCTTATAAAAAATTACCTGTTTATCCGGCCCCAAGTCGTCAGTGTCCATCATCCGGCCCATACCGTTACCTTGACCATTCGTCCCATTGCCGGTACTTAGTCCGCCGTGATGTAATGGTGACTTAAAACTTGCCGTCGAACTGACTGCGGCGACTTGTCCTGAATGCGTCTCATTTTCCACATTGGAAGACACCTGATCATCGGACTGATGACTGGAAGTAGCTGATTCCAGACTAGACGCCCGGGCTTTCCGTCGCTCTTTCTTGCGATTGTCACCAGACGACGCAGGGCCGACTGATGTTATTAAGTGCGGTGATGAATAACCATTCTCCTGTTTAGTGGTATTAATAATAAAAATATAGTTATTTACTTAGAAGTTTAATCTTATCACCACAAACCTGTTGCCTTAGTTTGAGATCAAAATGAGCTGGTTCATTCTTCAGAACTGTGACTAGACCGGTTTGTTGAAATACTGGTTGGTATAGCTGTATGTGCCTTTCATCCAGGTATTGTTGATTGATTGCCGGAACCTCCCTGGCTTGAACTGGTGCAGGAACCAAGGGGTAACCTCGTGCAATCGTGTGAAATGCGGGCGTCATAGAACCCGTACCTAACTGTGTTATTTGCGTCAAAGTCGAAACAGGCGCCGTGCTTAGCGGCGTTAAATGGGGCGCCGAAAGACCTGACGGGCTAGTACTGGAGTTAGGACTCACGGGCACAGGAGTTAACGTCGTGAGTGAAGGTTCTGGAGTCATTCCTGCGTCCTACAAAAAAAAACATTGCTTTTGCATAAAGGATAGTACCTCAAACGCACATAAATTTATTGATCTTAGATTAGAAATAGTGTATGTTTGTTTTGTTCTTTGAAACTAACAAAAAATGTTTATAATTAATGAACTTGATATTATTAACTAGCAAAAGAGATATGTAACAATATCAAACATTGCTGAGTTAATACTAAAAACAGTATAAAAACATATAAAAATGTATCTTTCAGGCACTTCAACCATAATACTTACATAGATAATATCATGTTGAAATATACAACTAATATTATAAAGTAATAATTCAAAAAGAGATTTCTGACAAACCTGGAATGCATTGAATTGGCTTTGAAAAGATGGAAGTTTGCTAACAGGTTGTTGTAAGTCTGGAGGAGGTTGACTGTTACCCATCACTCCCGAAAATCCTGTTCTCAATAAAACCTCCTTGGGTGTCCCCGGAGGCAATGGGCCGCCGTCAACAGACTCCCACGGTCGGTACTGGGGGGCATTATTGTCGCTAGATCGTTCACGTGAGTCGGCTGGACCTATAAAAGCCGATAAAATGCATCGAGGAATACTCATTTTTCATTTAAATTAAAGCGACTTCTAAAGACGTTTTGTGATTTTTGTTTCAAATTACTAACTTACATAATTGCCAACACAAAATTTAAGACATACATAAATTAATGGCGACCACCACAATGTTTGGATAAGTAGGAATTGCTAAGCTTCTGATTTCTAATATTTCAAAATTCATTACTTTATTTATGTTACTTATTAAAATATTGATCGTAAAAACATAGTAATTCAAAAATAAACGTAATGCTAATAATTATATGAATATGCAACATTAATAACAGTTAGTAAGATATTAAAATCATATAAGGTACGCCATCTGGTCAATGTAAATCAATAGCACTATGATGGTAAATATAGTGTTTAAACAAAAACGTGCCTTCTGTTTGTTTATTCTTTTTCAATGTAACGCACAGGATCATAATCCGCAGCTTATTAAAATTTATTGTGCCGATATTAAAAATTCGCAAATTCTTACCGAGCAGAGTTCCCGCGTTTGCTGAAGACGTGTAATAATCTCCCCAACTGTTGAGCTCCGTCGCCGTGTAAAGACGCTGGTTGTCTGTCGTATCCATTTCAAACGAAAGTTGTGGTAGAATGGTCGGATTATGGTGCTGTGAGTTCATTCCTCAGCCGATAAGCCAAAAAGGCACTGACAGGCTGTTCCTTTATCCCGAACATGTTCAAGACACCATAGACAAATTGCTATACTTTAAGCGCATTTCTTAAACTTCTTGAGTATTTGTACAAATATTTCGAACCCGATATTAAAAATTAATCTCAATATCAATAAATAAATAACTTAATCGATTACGATACACTATAACACAGTGACACTACTATTTTTTATCACTAATCACTAGACGGAGTCTTTGGTGGTAATACTTGGAAAAATAGTATTTAAATGCTTTCGATTATTCACCAAAATTTATCATGAGGTATATTATTCGTTACGCACTGTCGGTTACACTATATTATTAAATTATTATTTGGCATTTTTTTGATCAAATCACTATTAAATTTATATTTGAAGTCTTATTTAAATAGTTTATTAAATATGTGCATTTATGTAACGAGGTATACAATGTTGTACTTTATTATAAATATTCTTATATTTAGCTTCTGAAAACCGTGAACTATTTTATTAAAAATAGGATTTTTAAGATTATATTATATTTCGTTAAATTGTATTATAGATTTGGTTTCATTTATCAGACTTTCTCGTTTATTTGTACTTTTATTTTTATTTTAATCTTAAATAACTTCGATAATTTTGCAAATTTTATATTGATTCTTATAAGTTTTGTAATTACTCAGCAAAAAACTCTTTTTTTAATTTAATGTGATTTATATGCGATGCAACGTAGAATATATTAATTTTCATATATTAAATATAAATCTCTTAAGTTTATGAACAATTTTCTGATTGTTACATTATCGTTACTTTATAGTTACTATTCTAAATAATTTAAAATAATTATTAAAATGTTTTATAGTTACATTAAATTTCAATAAATTAAATAAATAAATAATTATAAATAATAAGTTTACTTTGGTTTATTATCTCATCCTCTTTAAAATATACAGCATCTGAAACAAAAATAATAGTAATATTAAAATTTAACAATAAATAATGCGAATGTTTAGCTTACTGCTAAATAGTTACTAGAAGCTTGTAGTGCTTCCAATGATGTGATCATTTGTGTAGCTTTTATGCGCTAAATATAACGCATAATAAAAATGTAAGAGCTTTTATATGCGAACAAGTTACCGTCACACGCAGCTGGAGCGAACAACGGTATATGCCGTACACAAAATATTTTCAATCATTCATGTTTATACAGCTTGCGATAAAAGCTTTTATAACGTTTGAAATATGTCTTTTACATTTTTTTAAAGCTGAATCTTTTGAAATCTTCGTCATTAAGGGCTAGTGAAACATAGACTTATAAAATATTACATTTGAATACGAGTGCATCGGGCGACTGCCAGGACGTTTGCATTAGAAAAGCATGGGAAATCCGGCTACAGCAATGCTGGTGGAATCCTGTGATATGGTAAGAAACCCTAATGATCATAGACGATTTTGTTCAATAGCAATCGGTAGAGAATTTTGAAGCTAAATTTATACCATTACTTGTTTATTAAATATAAAAATATTTTCGTATTATTTTTTACAGAATTACATATATAATTATTATTCATTCGACGATAAATGGATTTAAAAATATAAAACATCTGCCACAGTAATAAAATAAATATAATAACTTAAAGTTAAAAACTTTGATATTATTCATACCGAGACAAATTCTATTAATGCAATAGAAATGCAAACGAATATATATATATATATATATATATATATATATATCTTATATATATATATATATATATATATATATATATATATGCTCATGATTATCCATATATAGACGTTTTCTGTTAAGTCCTCATTTCCTTTTTTTCAACAATGTATTTGTGAGAGGTAGATTTTCCATCACTCTGCAATAAAATCCAAATATAACAACCGACTTAATGCCACAGCTGCTATACAAACGCAGGGTTGTAATATAATTTTTAATAAATATAAATTAAATTTTTGATTATAAAATTTAATAACATTTTTTTAGAATTTTTTTTAATAAACAATTTTTTATAAAAAAAATCAGTTTTGATATTTTATACATTCGAAATTATTAAGTATATATAGCAGAACAAACAAATATTATCCAAATATAAATACAATATTATATATATAAACACATGAAGAAACAAACATACGAATGTTTGTAAACTTTTTCATTTGGCATTTTATATTAGAAGGGTTTAAAGTAAAGATATACTTGGGGTAATAATAATGACAGATTTCAAATGAAATGACAAAGGGAATAAAAGGGACTCAATATGCAAATCCATCCATGACCTAAAGTAGACATGACCTAAAAGTTCAAAATATCAAATCGTACCATGGAATTGTAGGGTATTGCTCAAAAAATAAATTGAGAGTCAATTGAGAAAGTCCTGCTGTTTGATTTGTAATTCATTTACGAAAGCTAATGTGGTAAATATGTAGTATTTGTTTTTTATTTAATTTCAAATCCATCACATTGATTCTAACGACGTTTCTATCGGAGGAAAAACGACAATGTTTGAAAGTCCATAACATAAGTATTTTCTTTCGTTGTTAATAGACCGAGACCGAGACCTTAATATAATTTTTAAGTTATTTTTAGTGCTATCTCTGTAAAAAAATCGCCCATGAAATTTATATTTTGCACTGGTTGGATAATGTAGCTATTATTTGGTGAAATCCCTTTAAAATTAAAAAAATACATTGCACCAATTTACCCCCTAGCCGTCCCAATTTACCCCGCCTAAAAGGGGTAAAAAGGACCAGGTTTCAATTTGTTGAAAAACAGCCAAAAAACATACACATTTCTACAAGGATAAATTATTCGCTGGGATTTTCACTGAAAATCGTCAGATAGTTGTTCATTTGATATGTGTTTTTGTTGTGATATAATTGGTTGATTTTAACCATATAATTACTCAAAGTTAAATTGGACTTTTGTGCCCTGCCCTACCCTATATGTAATGTGAAATGAAATTTTCTTTATATTAAATTCGTTACTAAACTTTCTTATTGTACCATCTTTCTTATACCATTGCAAACCTAGTAAGCAAACCTTTAAAATTAAAAAAATACATTGCACCAATTTACTCCCTAGCCGTCCCAAATTACCACGCCTAAAAGGGGTAAAAAGGACCAAGTTTCAATTTGTTGAAAAACGGTCAAAAAACATACACATTTCTACAATGATGAATTATTCGCTGGGATTTTCACTGAAAATAGTCAGATAGTTGTTTATTTGATATGTGTTTTGTGATATAATTGGTTGATTTTACCATATATTAGGTTGTCAAATATCTCCCTTCCGCTTTTTTGCTCTTGGTTTATAATACAAAAAGGCGGAAGGGAGATATTCGACAACCTATTAATTACTCAAAGTTAAATTGGACTTTTGCGCCCTGGCCTACCCTATATGTAATGTGGAATGAAATTTTCTTTATATTAAATTCGTTACTAAACTTTCTTATTGTACATCTTTCTCATAACATTGCAAACCTAGTAAGCAATGCTAATTTGTGTTACCCGCTACCCGCTAGTGTATTCGTTTGTATAAAATTCCTCTCTGAATTGAATTACATCTATGTGATATATTGTTCTGAAGCAAGTTACAAGTGTGTGTGTTGAGCACGTCACTATAATTTAATTTAGTCTCTGTAGGTACCGTCGTTGCTTCCGGTTTGTGATTTTGGCAAAATTCGTGAGTTTCGTTCGGCAATCGGCGCCACAATCCGGAAAAATTTGTTCGCTTCCGGTATTATCGATTCGCGCCCGAACTTGTAAATGCGCGCGCATTCTCTTCATTCTCGCGGGCGTAAGAAGCATCAAGTTCAAAGAACCAAAACAACAAAACCATAACAAAGCGTCTTATAGGTATATAGTTATATACGTTCACGCACTCCCAAAGCGCAAGCTCAGGTATCCAATATCAGAATTCGCATTCACATATCACGGGAACCAGGATGCGCCTGAACCATTTCGAAATAAAGCGCGGATTAAATGTCAACGAACAAATGTACTATAACAAAAAATAGACCTGGGTTTTACAAACTAGGCTCAGTTATTTAGGCAAATTGGTCAAAAAAATATTATATCGGCATTAATGATAGATACAAAACATATAATATGAAAGTCAATATTTTATAAATTCTGTCATTATTGAAAAATATGATTATGGTATGAGTTGTTCTAAATTTTCATGACTTTAACTTAACCCTCCGTCGGGCGCAGCCGATCTGACAGATACAGGGCCAACATTTTAGCATGTTTCTCCACATTTTGATGTCATCGAGATCTCCATATCGCAGTAGCTTCGTAATTTTATGTCTACTATTTATTCGTCCATATTAGATTGTCTTTGAACTTCGCATATTTTGCTAGTAGCAATTTTGTTAAAAAAAAAACACACTAAGCCAAATTCTATTTGACGTACAAAAAGACAAAAAACACCAAGTTTTTACTGTTCTAATTGTTTATATAGTCTTTGTATAAACATTCCAACAGAATCTGACAATTCTTTTTATATAATTAATTAAATTATTCATTTCAGAAAAAGTAAGGTTTGTGCGTCTAGCATTTTGAGCGCATGTACGGATTTTTATATTTGCTATATTATAAAAATAATATTGATCTAATATATATTTTGTTTTTGTTTACATATAATATGCATATTCAGCATTGTAAAAGCGCAAATTAAATAAAAATATATAAAACTGTAAGCCTCCTGTTAATATATTTATAATCTGTATCTGTCATATACACTGCGCCCGATTCTGTACATATTTGGACTGCGCCCGACGGAGGGTTAAACATCACACTTATTTTGTAAATACATTTTACATATATTTGTATTTGATAAATAATTTGACAAAAAGTATAAAATATATAAAAGCTTAATATTCGCTGCATAAGTTATTTTGCTTCGGTGTAAATTTTAACCGACATCGCATTTTT